CTGTAAATATTAATATTGCTTCCATACATTTCTAAATCGATGGATAAACCAGTTGATGTTTTGTATTTTGATTATCTCAAGGCGTTATTAGAGTGAATTACAGAATTTTGATGCATAGATTTCTCAGATGAACTGATTAGTTTGCTTTGTGACTACTTCAAAGCGGACATCAGTATGTGCACGCACTACGGATGTGTTCTTTTATATTAACCTTATCCCAGATTTTAACGCAGCGCAAGTCAGTTTCTTAGACAGGATCGAAAACCAAGAGGGATGATGACGGAGTACAGTAAACGAAATTCTATTTCGTCCGTTAGATGATCAAAAAATAATGGACCCGTATTTTTTCTTTGGGCAATCAACCAAAAAATGACAAAGTTATAGCGCGTCAAAGTTTGGGAGTAGGGGCTCGTGACGTCACTTTTAAGTGAAAATTATACCAAAACGTGACGTCATGCGACTTTTCAAATCAATATATTTCTGTAATGTTTATATTATGTGAAAAAAGAAAAAATACGTGTCCAATACTTTTTGATAATCTACCTGATAAACGAAGAAAAAAAAAGTCATCATCCCTATTGAAAAGTCATAAAATATTCAAAACACTATTAAACCCAAATCTAACTAAATCACGGCTGATTTAAGGTTGGGAAGGGTGGAGAGGAGACCTTTTAATGGTGGGAAACTAAATCCTCTAACTTAAAATTTTAAGTTAGAGAACGTTAAGATTTATACAATTTACAAAGTACGTATGTACACGGACCGTCGCCGCGTCGGCGTCGCATCCTCAACCATCCAACCGAGTCAGGTGAAACAGAAGTCCGGCTATGATTCGTCAGCACGATTTAGAATATCCACCCTCGTTTTATCATAAAACTTTTACAAACACACAGAAGATACGAAGCAAACGAAAATGACTCTTAACACCTCATCTTTAGACATTTACCTATGTTTAGATGAAATCGTGATGTTGTCGCTACCGGAGGCGATCTGTATTCTGTATCAATAGTATCAATACAACCCGTCGCAAATATTGTTCCTCGTAAAATGACGTATTTTCGACTTAACGTGATGATCATAACGCGAATAGTAAAAGAAATGCATCATAAAAACAAAAACACCACTCCATAATATTAAACAAGTAAGTTTATATAACTATAATCGATATTTCTTCTTTCAAATGTTTAATAATTGTAAAGGTATTCATTTGACATTGTGAGTTACCTACAATGCGAAGAGATGCGCTGCCTTGCAGGTTAAGAAAGGCTAGAGAAAATTCGACTAGGCCATCAGGGCCGCGGTAGCATAATGGTCAGTGCATTCGCCATGATAGCGAAGGCTGCGGGTTCGAGTCTCGTCTGGTGCCTGGTCTTCGTGGAATTTTTCTAGTAAATTTTTCTTTAGATTTAAGTTAGTAAGTATATCTACTTACCTAGGTATATTATTACGTACCTGTGATTATTAGGTAGGTACTTATCATCAGACTATATAATTCCCACTGCTGTGGCACAGGTACTTGGATGGAATAGGTAGATTGAGTACTACGCGGAGCCCGTTGTCGTTTGTAGGTTTCTAACAACAGAAAATTCTACCGGGTCGAACGGCTTAACTGCCTCCCGAAACAAGACGGAGCTCGAGATTATAAATTCTTGGTCGCCCATCGATGATCAGCCATTGCTAAAGTTGCTCAACTTCCACAATCAACGTTGTGCGATGTGATGGCTGGTTCATGCGTCATGCTCGTGAACGGGTGCTGCCAGCGGAGATAAGTCTGCTCTTGCTTTATTGGGTACTATTAATCATTGTATTTGACTTTAATCGTATTTTTTATGCCTAAACAGTAGAACACGGCATTCCTACACTTAGTTAAAAGAGTTTATACTTTTAAGTCATAATTTTTGTATCTTTTACATTTGTAATGGAAGTGAATTAATTAGTTCATCCCTTGCTGAGTTTCTTACCGGTTCTTCTCAATACAGGGTCTCCCGCCGTAGATTTGGGAACCGATGGCGTAGCTTTTCGATATTCACAAGTGCTTGTAGCAGCCTAGCCTGAATTAACGATATTGAATTGAATTGAACTGATAAGTTAATGAGTGAATGAGAAATTATTTTCCGCGAAATGAAGTTGATGCCATCCGCTAAAATACAGAATAATATTTTGGCATTAAAATTTGTACAGTAAAAGGTAAACCCAGACCCCCTTATTAATAAATGAAGAGTAGCTTGGATTAGTTATGTTTTGTCTCTGTCTATTGAATGACAAATGGCATTTGAGTGACATGAACAAAACACGGCGTAACTAGTCTAAGGTTATTCCTTATTTATTAATAAGGCGGAGAGCGCTTTAAATTAAAAAATATATATATATAATTTTTTGTATAACACCACAAAGGAAACATAAGAAAAATATGGATGTGTTTCGAGCGAAATCTTTTAGCGACGATTTTTTAGGACTTTTTGACGACTTTTTTAGGTAGCGAGATAACTTTACCCCAAAGTTACATCTGGCCCGCAAGGGCCCGCCTGATGTTGAGCGGCCAAATAGCTTAAAGACGCTTGTGATACAAAAAATATCACTCGAGCCGTTGTCTACCCTGACACAATCCCCTACCCTGTGGGGCTGGAATCTTATTCACTGACAGGACGCCATTAAAAGCAGACCTGTCTTTCCCAGTGGACAATCAATAGGGGCCTCGCTCAGATCAAATACAAAGTCCCTAGTTCGTAAGGGCCCCAGTATCCTAATATTAGGTCAAAGACGGCACTGATTAAAAGGCAAAAGGAAGTGTTATTTTACTGTGATTTCTGTAAGGTGGAGGTTACTTTCCCAGACGGGCACTCCAATTCGAGCGGATAATCCGCTTTGCCCTACCTCTCTTGACCTTAACAGGATGCAATGCAAATTATGCATAAATTTTATAACTATAACTATGTACAACCTACCCATCAAATATCCTTTATACCTAACTAGCTGAAAAAGACTATTAGTTCCCTTACCCGACCAACCAAGCAAGGAGGTAATTATTCTCGCTCGCTCGACCCGATATGGATGGACATCGAACGCCCGAGCGAGACAACGGTGGTCGTATACAGCTGGCAAGGTTTTGTTGGGAAAACTTTGCTTATTTTGTTCTTATAGGCGCCGTGTTTGCTTGAGCAGGCGTTCTTGTGTTCAACTTGAAACTAACTAATAGGTACCTCATCAAAATATATTTAACACAAGAAGGATACGCAATGCAATGCTCAAGTATATTGTGACTATATTTTTAATTTATGTATTTTGACCATTTTGTACCATCAACAATTTTTAACTTCACCTACCTATTTGAAACTTAAAGTTTGAAAAAGGTTAGTTATTTTAATCCCAATTAATTAAACCTAATATTTTACATATGAGTTCCCAAAGATTATGATAAAATAACAAAAGCATTTTTATACGTTTTAAGTGGAATGTTATAAACTACATCAATTTGCCTCGAATGAATAAGTGTTGCCAGACGAGGAAAGCAAAAATGCTGTAGGGTGGGAACAGAAACGCGGATTTGCAAACAAAACAGTGGAACTTACGATTTGCAACCCCCCTAGAAATCAAAGGATCCATTCTTTTCTCCATATAACTCTGCCCAATTTTGGACCTCATGTATTATCATGCATTTATGTGTAAAAAAATATGAACAATTCACCAAAAATATAAATGGAATTTATTAACCACTTGTACCATATGAATGTCTTTTAAACAGTTAAATAAATGGCAACACAGATAAATTCATGTTAAAATTTCATCTTTAATTCAATAACAATTACCTAAGGAAATCAATTGATTTTGGTACAACCAAACACAATCAGGGATATACCCTTAGATTAAAACAAAAAGGGCCGTTTTTGTTTTAATCTATGGATATACCTTAATTTAAACCAATAGTATTAGCTGTCTTCAACAAGCCTTAGATACCTTATAAAGACTCCATGGAACCCATAAACGAGGAACGTAGAGGTTGATCAAGGTAGATTCAAAAAAGCGGAACCGCGTAGCTTAAAAGCGAAACGTGGGTTCACAGTCAAAAAGGCGGGAGGAAAAATAGAAAAGCGGTGCGATCTGGCAACACTGCCTCTAATTGAATCCACAGAACACTTTCTTAAATCCTTGATTCGTTCTATTAAGCTGTGTTCAGATTACACTATAATAAATTTGATATTTTCTAACATCTGTGATCTGGAAATTATTTGCAAATAGATATTTAGCATATTTTTATAGTATTTAGGATATTTTTGTCCACTAGTTCGATGCAGTCGCATAGCATAAAGCTTCGCTAGCACCATATTATAATATAATTGTAACAGCAGATACTGATTTTGGTTGCTTTCCAATTACAGAGCATAATGCAACTCAGTGCCGCACAATGCTGAATTATGCTGATGCTTAATTGGAACGTGAATCATATGTTATATTGAAATGAAATCTATGGGAAATCTTATAGATGCAGTGCTTTTGCCGGAAACTGTTTTGTGCCTGTACCTATCTATTTAAATGTTTGGTGAGAAATAATGTTTGTAATGCCAGCATTTCAGTTGGCTATTCGTATTTGATGTTATAAACTTGACAATGGTGTCAATTCTGGCACGATTTTCTAAATCTAAACTTAAATTTGACAACAATGTTTCCTTGTCATTCTCTATACAGAATGAAAAAGAGAGACTGATGCTAAATTTAATTTTAAATTTAGAGAATCACGCCAGAATGGACACCATAGTATCCTTGTCATTTTCTATACAGAATGAAAAGGAGAGTTTGATGTTAAATTTAGTTTTAAGTTTCACGCCAGAATCGATACCAGTAGTCTGTCTTTATAATGCTTTGCAAGGAATGAAAGGACAAACGATGCCAAGTTTACATATTAAAGCAAACACAAATAGCCAAGTGAAGTGCCGGCATGATATCCATTAATGTACCTTTACGATACGACTGACAGCAGCGGAAACATCATTCATTGAATCAAGCGGCGGGTGAGTGACCGGTCGAAGAACGCGGCCTAAAGTTGTTTTTTTATAAAATTTATTATCAAAATAATTTTCAAAAATGAAAGGCGACAAGAACGTAGACATCCAGGCCCTAAAAGATATCGCTAACAAGCTGAGAATCGACAGCATTGTTGCTACAAATGCGTCAAAGTCCGGGTAAGTACTTAGTTGTTATTTAACCTCATTGCAATGGTAGCAGCCGCATGATGAAGGTCTAATGAAGGTTATAATTAATCTGATTCCCTCTTATTAGATTTTTAATAGAATGCTTAGTAATGTACGCAAAATGCTTTAGGAATGTCTTGTTTGATTTTTGGGTATTTTATTTAACATAACCTTACATTCATGTTTTTATTTATCTAATAATGCCGGCATAAATATTATGGTTCAACCCTCGTTTTGTGCATAAATAAAGTTACAATCTCTTATTGTGCTTACACGAAGATTCACGTGTAATTTTTTAAAGAATATTGTGAGGTTTTAACTAGTTAAAATACTTTGTTATAGCCAGCTTAGGTTATACTATTAGAATACCACGTGATCGCCTTCAAACGGATACAAGGCAATCAAGAAAGCGTTAGCAAGACCTACATTGTACTGATTTTATTTTTGACTGCAATATAAATATTAATAGTGTGGTGCATTACAATTTGTGCAGAATTCAGTATTATTAAAATGTTTTGGTGCATTGAAACTTATGCGGAAAGAAAACCAATAGAAATAAATATAAATTTAAAGTATATTCATTTAATTTGTAATGTTTGTGCTACCTTTTGTAATAGCTAAATTTGAATTTATACCATCTATTGCATTTAACTGAATTTATATCAATAGAAGTTTTATTTTTATGCTACATATAGGAGCCATGTTTGAATTCATACTACCTATTGCATATAACTGAATTTATATCTATAAAAGTCTATTTTTTTAAATAATAAGTCATCTGATTGTTATACATGCACATCAAATTTAAAAACCATTTAAAAAATATTACATACCTAGGTAAGGATTCTAGAATGTTAATTCATTATCAGGGTGCAAATTGTAATAGGCGGTCCATGGCAAGCATGGCAAGACAAGAAAAGTTTAAGAACCACTGAAGTACAACCTCTTGGGTCAACCAATAAATTTGAATTTCTTTTTATCAAAGTCTGAATTGTGAAGTTAAAAATTATTTCATTTGGTTTTTTTTTTTGCAAAATGGTTTATTTGTAAATAAGAGAGTCTTTGGCTCTTATTGCAGAATGACAACTAAGTGTTTATCTATACTTGAATACAGTTACAAATGGAAGGCGCTATGTATAGCACTCAGCAGTAGCAGTTAGTCTTAGTAGTACAGCAGGCTGTTTCCGCAACTCGACACAGTGCCTATTTTGCGTGGGAACGGCATCAGTCCTGCCATCCCTGCTCCTTAAGAAAGCTTGTAAATAAGGGAAAGAAACAATTACTTATATGCATTTTTTTCCATGTAGGTGTGCAGAAAGTCAATAGTTTTATAAATGAAGACACTAGGAACATAAAATTATGCAATATTAATGCATAATTGTGTATACCATTGCCACACAGATGTTTTTAGTACTTATAAATTTTATTTTAAGAACATTTTAGTAGTGTAGTGTATAGTTTGTAACTTATTGTCAGTTATCTATTAGGTAGATTTACAAATGTAAAGCGTAAAGTTAAGTGTTTGTTATGTATGACAATGAACAGTAAATGTCAACCATGTTGGTATGAGTTTTCCATTATTTCAGTTCGATTTATTCAACTTTATGCAAGATGTAGTGCCGATCTGTCACCGTTTGACCTTCCACAAGGTAATATAAATATGATAACAGTTATATAACTTTTTGATAAAAGTAATAAAAAACACTATCACCTCCAAGTTCAAATTTGAGGGGTGATTACGTAAGAATTGATTATTGCTTGAACTCAATGTTGATAATGAGGAAATAACCTAATTAAAGAATTAATTTTTAATTGACTTTAAAAAGGAGGGATTGTGTGACACCCATATGTTTGTATGTATGTTTTAACTATAAGTGATCTACGTACAAAGACTGCTCAAGTAGCCAGAGTCAACAGCTTAAAGCAGCCATTGATAACTAGGTACTGGAGCAGTTCATACCAACTTCTCGAGCGGTCTGTGTATGTACATATTGAGGGTAGACTGTAGTTCACTATGCAGTTGCAGCTAGTTTAAATATGGTGACTCTAAAAGTAACGTCTTTCTCTTTTAATTGTACCTTCATTAGACTGTAAAAGAATTTCGCTGCATCATATCCATATACTTGTGAAGCAAAAATTTGAAAGAATTTTAAGCTTCTAAGTAAATAAGTGTGTATGAAGCAGAGCCTAACACTTATGATGTAATAATATTTATATTGTAAGGCAACTTTGCTAATTTATGCTTTTAAACTGAATACAACTACATTACCTGTCTGTAAATGTAAAAGGCTATAAATAAAGGACGGCTTTGGATGTTGAAGCAAATGTTAGTGTTATTTTTGCCTTGACTTTAGGAAAAATTAAAATTTTCTATAACTCACAAGGAGTTTCTTTAAAGTAAGGCAATTTAGTGTTATCATTTATGATTAATATAAAAAAGAAATGGAAGAGAGAGACATACTTCTTAGCAAGCCATGGATTCGCTGTGCGGTTGCCGGGTCAATCATGTGGGAGGAGAGAAACTCTGAGCAGTTCCCGGGACTTTCAACCCAGGTGTAGCTTTAAGGAGGCCCCCTTTAACATGCCCATCAACACTCACCTTCACTGTTCGAGTTGTCCGCCCTTCCTATTCCTAGCCAAATTTGAAAAGAGCCTGTTAGTACAGCCTTAGTTACTCGTTCCAAAATTGAACTTACTGCAGTTCTCAACAGGCCTAGGTCTTTAAAGAAGGTTATAAAGTGAGATTTTGCTGGTATACCTCTCGCTCCTACTTCTACTGCATATAAATTAACTAGATACCATACCATTTTTTGTTAGATTGAACCAATGAATGGTTAGATTTTAATTGTGCAGACTCCAAGGTAGCCAAGTGTGTGTGCTTTGCAAATGAAACAAACTGTTTCGCACACAACAGGTTTTTATTGGAAAGTTCGAAATTCAAATACACCACATTAAGACTTATATAAACTGCTGATATGAAACACTCGCGACTCACAATAATGTAACGCCATTTACCTATTAAAGAAAATATAAATTAAGGCATTAATAACTACTTAAAGTTTTTATATAATATTTGGTCATACAGTAATATTTATTCAATTTTATTGTATGATCTTTTGGAATGTTAGTTTTCCATGGTACAGTAAGCTCTATTAGTACTATATGTTTGATGTGCCTAGACAAGAGGAATATGTCTGGCCTGGATGATGAAACACTAATATCTTGTGCTATTTTATAAGGAGCACCTTACAACCTACCAACATGTGCCTAGCAATACCTATTGCCTCACCACAAGTATAGCACAATTTTTCAGAGGCTTTCCCGCATCTTACTAGGTTACTTTGGTCTGGGAGGGTCATTTGGAAGGCATTGAGATAGAATTTTAGTAGAGCAGGAGACCAATCATTTACAATCATTGGTTCTACCTTATTTAAGTCATTCAGAAAATTAGTAATAACAGATGCCTAAAAGTATGGAGTACGTCCTTTGTGGTCAATCTTTCTACCTAGAGAATGGCGCAGCTTCAGCAATCGTGGTAACACATCATCCTCTTTGCGATTCAACATACTTCGTAAAATCAAAATATGTAATTAAAAATATTACTTAATCCTTTACTGTAATAAATCTAAAGTAAATATAAATGAAAAGTGTAAATATTTGGAGTTTAAGAGAATAAGTTTTCTACTAGTAATCATATTCTTGAAAACAAGGATATTCTTGGAGACAATGCTAAACATTTGTTGAATATATTACAAGTTAACATGTTGCTGCGTGGGTCATGAGTTTTGCGTCATTCGAAACTTTAACACCTGCCTGGCAACATGAGACCATCATCAAAATAGTTTAACTCTTGTTTACAACTTCACAGGGTTTTAAACATCCCTATGCCATTCATTATATGTACTTTCATACTTCACAAAATTCAGGAATTATTAACTAAATATAAAATTTGACGACCTCCTGGCCGAGTGGTTTATACGCTCGCCAACTCGAGAGGCTGGGGCAGATATTTGTGTGATACGAAAATTTGTACTCCAGTCATGAATATTTAATATGTATTTCTATAGAAATATACTTATATAAGTATTCTGTCCATTACCCTAGTATCCCATAACATAAGCCTACAGTGCTTACTTTGCGGCTAGGCTAAAAAAAAATTTTTTTTTTTTTGGTCTGCGAACATTGAAGTTAAGCAACTTTCGCAATGGCCGGTCATCAGATGGATGACTAAATATTTTCATCTTCTGCTTTAACAATAGACAGCACCCACCAATCCACACTGGACCTGCGTGGTGGATGATCTCCCAAAATTAGACGATATGATTACAGCCCCTGCCCCCCCCCCCCCCCCCCTAGCATGAGCACCGCGATGTGATATATAACGCGTTTTTATCACGCTCAATTTTCAAATTACTATGGAGTTTGACAGTTAGACGCGATAAAAAACGTGATATAATGTAAATTGTGGTACTCATGCTACGGGGACTGGCATGAGAACAGAAGTCAAAATTCGTGCTTGGACCTCAGAATAAATCTAACTAATAGCCATTATTAACGGTGACCCATTTTTGTTTATAGTCACCCAACATCATGTGCATCAATGGCGGAGATCATGTCGGTGCTGTTCTTCCACACCATGAAGTACAAGGTGTCCGCGCCCAGGGACGCTTCGGCAGACAGATTTATCTTGTCCAAGGTGAGATAACTATCAAATTACTTGACTTACCACAGAAGAACAATGTCTGAGCTGCAGGTCTTAAAAAGGCGACATTGCAATGAATCGGAATACATTTCTGATTTACGCTAGGTTGTATTATAATGTCAGTCAATCTGTCGCTTGGTGATAAAAAATGACGATTCTAAGAAAAAAAAAACGTCAAAAAAAAAAGAGCCGACTTAAAGGCGCGGTCAGGTTGTAAGTAATAAATCGTGTACCTATAATTCAGTAGTTTTGGTTTTTGATACAGCTATTGTTACTTAAACACAAAATAACGAATATATTTGCTTACTCATTTGTTATTGTTACCTTAACTATATTTGTTATTGTATATTTTAGTAACAAAAAAGTGTGTCAGAAAGCGATATTATTTAACCACTCTATTATGGCATAATATGTTAATGTTTGCTTTGCAGAGATCGACACCCAGAGGCCCAAGCATGAACTTTGGCAGCTTCGTTATTGTATCGCATTATCAAAGTTTCTATGAAAACTAAAGCCGGGTCTCCAGCAAAAGTTTTTTGAAAACATTCAACAATACATCATACACAATACTTTATTTCTGAAGCACACGCTGCCTACTGCTCACGTGGCTGTTGTAGACAAAATTCACAGGGCTCCGTTCAAAAACTACGATCCAGTCCCCGTAGCATGAGCACCACAACTAACTGTCAAACTGCATAGTAATTTGACAATAGAGCGTGGTAAAAATGCGTTATATATCATATCGCGGTGCTCATGCTAGGCAGACAGGTGTAACAAATGTCAAATTTCACAAGTTTCCTATATTTTATGTCAAAATTGAAACGTCAGAGTAAAAAGTGTAATCGGAGCGTAGGTTTGTAACGGAGCCCCCGCTAGCGAAAATGTGCAGTTTAACAAAAGTATTGTGTTGACGAATTTGTTGAATGTTGATATGTTTTTGTTGTTTGTGTAGGGCAAAACACGCGCTAGAGACCCGGCTTAAGCAGCGCCCCTATCGGCCGTAAGAACAAAATGGCTGCTTCCATACAAAATTTGACGATACATTATGGAGCTGTGAAAATTCGTGCTTGGGCCTCTGTAGTTTTGATTTTTGACACAGCTATTGTTACTTAAACACAAAATCTTTTGTTGTTTGTTTACTCATTTGTTACTGTTATCTATATATAGCCTAGCCTAGCCCCAAAGTAAGCCTTGTAAGGCTTGTGTTATCGAATACTAGGGTAACGGATAGAATACATATACTGTACATATACAAGTATATTTATATAGAAATACATATTTAACATCCACGACTGGAGTACAAATGCTCGTATATCCCCACCGGGAGTCGAATCCGGGACCTCTCGAGTAGGTGACACATCAACCTCTCGGCCACGGAGGTAACAAGAACTGTAAAAAAGCGATACTATTGAAGAAATACTCTATTAGAACATGCTTAGTCGAACGATACCTAGATGCCATAGAATAAAATCGAAAACTCATGGAAATACTCTTTTTTGTATATATAGGGTCACGCAGCTCCTATCCTATACGCGGCGTGGGCTGAAGCCGGTCTATTCCCCGTGGAAGACCTGAAGAACTTGCGCAAGCTGGACTCCGACCTCGAGGGTCACCCCACTCCTAGACTGGGCTTCGTGGACGTTGGCACTGGCTCGCTCGGCCAGGGGTTGGCGGTCGCGGCAGGCATGGCCTATGTTGGCAAATACTTCGACCAAGCTCCTTACAGGTATTAATTTATTGTAAACTATTAAGTACGTAAATAGTAACGCTCTTATTCATAAAAATTAAAACAGTTTAAATAAACTTGTTTTAACTATTGCACTGTTTTGTCACCTTCTCTCAAATCTTGACAGCGCTAAAAAGAACGAAACAATACAGTGTTTTAGCTAAAACAGGTTTATTAAACTGTTTTCATTTTTATGAATAAGAGTGTGATATTATAACAAGGAAAATTTTGTATTTTTGTTTGTGACGACTTAACTAAAACACTTCTGAACAGATTTCAAAAAGTCAATTACATTTATAGTTTATTTAATGGGCTTTCAAATGACACCAATTTTGGTGGGGGTAAATGCGTGTGTTAAGGGTTATAAAAACGCCTGAAAGTTATATTCGCGGAGGTGCGATTTTTTTGACGCCGAGATTTGGCAACTTTTCACGTAAATAAATAATTGTCATTCTCAGAGTATACTGCGTGGTTGGGGACGGCGAAGCAGCCGAAGGCAGCGTATGGGAGTCCCTTCACTTCGCCAGTCACTACAAACTAGACAACCTAGTAGTAATCTTCGACGTCAATCGCCTTGGACAGTCTGAGCCTACTTCCCTTCAGCATCAGGTATTATTTATTACTAGCTGTGCCCTGCGGTGGTAACCGCGGTATATTATGGGATATTTTACCGCAGTAAAACGTAGCCTACGTGTGTCAGCTAACCAAACCAAATTTTATTAAAATCGCTCCAGCTGTTTAGATGTGAAAAAGTAACATACATATACACTCGCGAACTTCGCCTTTATAATATTAGTGTGATTATTTCAGATTCTTTGGGGCAATAAAACTGTTGACACTGCGAACTAAATATTTTGTGACTTGCCACCAATTTCAGTATCTCTTTTAACCTGACAGCTTCCAAGAACACGCTGAAAACGTTTCTATCTTTTAGAAATTTGCTGTCCTCTGGGCGTATTATATGTCGTCCCAGATGAATACTACGTTTGTGGAATACTAGTCCTATTGTAAAATTGTAGGTTTTAAAGCCTTTCCGAAGTGCGTATTAATTTGAGATGATACATTTGGTCTTCTATCTCGAGTTCCTCCGTGCTTCGGAAGACACGTTAAGCCGTTGGTCCCGGCTGCTTTATAAGCACCCGCCAATCCGCACTGGGCCCGCTTTGTGCGTCATGGCCCAATCTCCCTATTCCATCCATAGGGAAGGCCTGTGCCCAGCAGTGGGGACATTAATAGGCTGATGATGATGATACATTTGGTCACCCGTCTTTGGACTAGTAAAAACTGCTAACAGTCAAGTAATCCAAATTTAAAAGTGGTAGGTAGTAGATTAATGTTTGCGGTCATTAAAACATGCTGAATTTATGCAATCATAGATGAAATCTTGCAGAAGTAACTCTTGCGTCGGCAATAAGGTTTTCTATTTTCAGAAACACAATAAAAAAGCGATTCCTATTGTTGGTATTGAATTCGTAGACAACTTGTGTTAAATAAATGTATACACGCATAGATAAATTGTATAATTTTTATTACAATACAATATGCAATGAAACTGTTTTAAATACAACATTTGCAGTGATAATGATAGTGATTAATTTTGATAGCAAAAAGACCAATAGCAGTTTAGTAGTGGACATTTAGTAATTGAGTAAAAAATAACTGCAACATTAGTTCTTATGTTGTATCAATTTAAAATGTATATTCAATGCATCAAGTCAATACTTCCAGACTTTACCTCATGGTCTCGTCTCAATGACCGGTGCAAATATCAAACAATGTTTGTCGTACTCACGCGACCGCTCTCGGCCGATGTGGGCAGTAGCATTCATACAAATGTCATACAACAGGAAGGCAACGAGCGAGTGATTCTGTATAGTTCGTTTCAAACGTTTTGAGCGCAAATGTATACAAAAACAGTCAAACTCTCAATTAGCTACTGTATACCTTAATCAATTCTAAAGAATCTGATCATCAAAATGATCAATTTATGATGATAATTTACTACGAAATCTCATCACTAAGCTTTTTATGGTCAGGTTTACATAACTTTGTTAATTTTGTTCTCATAACGTTTGAAATTAACTACACGGTATCGCAAGCATTTATCTATATGCTAGTGCGCTTACCATCAGGCGGGCTATGGCGCTTACCATCAGGCGGGCTATGGCACTTACCATCAGGTGGGCTATGGCGTTTACCACTTGATGCCAGCACTTGACATAGCTATTTTATTTTGACAGCAGGTTGTCCTTATCATACTCTATAGCAGGGGTGGCATACTTGATTACACCCAAGATCTCCTGGTTACTGTCGAAACCCTGTGCGATCTATCAATAACATACTTCTTGAAATCTTAAATGAAACAGCACAGTTCAGTACACAATTATGTGGTTATTTGTTATTTTATTAAAACGGCAAGCATAAAAGTGAATGAGTGCCTTAGTAACTACTTATTTATATTACTGCGCAGACTAATTATTAGAAGTGGTCTATTTGAAATGTATCTGCAAATTTTGTAGTCAATTCATAGATATCACTATAGAAGAGAGGATAAAGAATATGCGGAGTCTGTTCTACTTATACATATATATTTTTTGCCTTGCCACGATCGACTGAACTAATAATAGTGGCGATCGACTGGTTGGCCACCCCTGCTCTATAGGGAATGAAAAGGAGAGATGGTTGTCAAATAGGAAAAACGTATAGCCATGTGAAATAACAACATAATAACAAATAAACATAAGAAATAAAGAAACATAATAAGAAATAACAAGTAGAAAAAATTTAATGACGACATTACATAAAAATTAGAGAAGACTAATCTCGTCTTTCCTTTCTCCTTAGATGGAAGTGTACGATGCCCGCCTCAAATCATTCGGTCTCCACTCCATAGTGGTTGACGGACATGACGTCTCGGAGTTAGTGAAGGCATTCGATGAAGCCGCCAACACTAGTGGAAAACCTACAGCCGTCATCGCCAAAACCTTCAAAGGCAAAGGGTTCCCGGGCATCGAGGACTTGGAGAACTGGCACGGAAAAGCCTTGGGCGCTGAGGGCGAGAAGATTGTCAAGGTAAATTCAAAATTATTTTTAATACAGTAGACCCAAGGTAATCCGGACTCCGTGTAATCCGGCGCCCCCTGTAATCCGACACGCTTATCACTGTTGTATTGCACATAATGGTGTCGATTCTAGCGTGATTCTCTAAACTTAAAACTAAATTTAACATCAGTCTCTCCTTTTCATTCTGTATAGAGAATGACAAGGATGCACTGTTGTCAAATTTAAGTTTAGCTTTAGAGAATCATGCCAGAATCGACATCACTATCAATTTAATAGATTTGTAATTGGTCGGATTACAAGGTACTCTTATTCCAAAAATTCCGGACTATAGAGGGTGGTTTTAGACAGTACTCTGTAATCCGACAAATTCGTAGTCCGACATCGCCCTGCAAAATGTTTGTCGGATTACCGCGGGTCTACTGTATTGTCAAGGTAGCATTTTGCAATGGGGAAGAAAACTGCCAATTTATCCCACCAGAGGCGCAGGTGTCTTCTTATTATTTTATTTTATGGATTATGATTGTGCCTTCACAATTCTGTAGTCTTCACAAGTCATGTAGGTAGCTTTTACACGTAGGGGAACAGTTTAATATAACATATATTATTTAGAATTGATGGTTTCTATGCAGACTGAACAGGTTTATCTGGAACAAACACTTCAAGGACCTCACAAACAAATTGTGGTTAAAGGTTTATCAACGACGTTAATGTGGAGCACTGAAGACCGAAAGTCAGTAATAAGTATGTTTATAATTTTAAGCGTATTGATTGCTAGGAATTTAGATAAGATTTTAAATGGGGGGGATTAACCATACTCACATTTAATGTTAGTGGGACGGGGAACTTCCTAAAGGGATGCTCCCTTATTATCATCATATATCGAGATTGCCAGTTTAGGCCAATTGAACAATACATGGTCAGTAGTTCCTTGCTCAATACTGCTCTCACATAGCCTGCTTTCTTTTGGCCCATAACGACAATTAGAGACAGCTGTCAAAGTCATAAGGAAAACCGATAAATTCGGATAGACTTGGCTGCATTCCAAACCTATGCACCACATCCAACAAATGTCAAATTTCACATAAATTACATACATTTTATGTAAAAATTAAAACGTCGCGTCAGGGTAAAAAGTTGAGTTCGGGTTTAGAACCTGTTATTAGTTTTGCTTTTTCTTCCCCATTCTAAACTTTACTGTCTTTACAATCTGCTCAATGCATCAAGTCAGTACTATGAGATATACCTTATGGTCTTGTCTCAATGACTGCTGCAAATATCGAATAGTGTTTGTCGTACTCACACGACCGCCGTCGGTCGATGTGGGCAGTAGCATTCATACAAAGATCAGACATATATTTTATATTATCATCATGGTGTGTTTTAATTTTTGACTTTAGGGATGACTTGTCGTTACATCCAATGTCAATAATTTTATCTATTACTACTAAGTCGTTTTAGTAAAGAGAGTATCATGTAAATTAGCAGAAAGAACAACGAATTAAGAATTAACAATGAAAATATAGAATATCAACTGCGCTAAAGCGGTTCCACGCAATCTGCGATCAAGTGGGCATGTATTGGATGAAATTTTATAATTAATTCTGGGCTGTAAGGCTACTTTTCATTTGTCCGTTTACGGCTATATTGTAACGCCAGAGGGCACTGCGTTTTTTTTTTTTGGTGAAGGATTGTAAAACCTTTTACTGTGCACTGTTTGAATTGTTTAATAAAAACGTTTATAAGGTTCAAACGAATAGAAGTCTTGTTTATTATACAATAATTCAACAGGTTATGGGCCCAGGTCCACGTTAATTAATAGTTGGTGATAAACAAAGAGCAGAGAAAACAGAAAGGTGCTTAGTAATTTTTCGACAATAGAACTACGTGCCACCTATAACCTAAAAATGGAGCTTGGAAAGACAAACCTTGAAAAATTCGATGGAACGAATTTTAAACAGTGGAAATTCCAAATTAAATGTGCTCTGCGTGCCAAGGGGTTAGATATTAACACGCCAAGACCAGCGGGAAATGCGATTCAGTGGAATAAAGATGATGGTATGGCGATGTTTATATTGACGTCTGCCATGGACTTAAATCAAATAGCACTCATCGAAAATTGCGAATCAGCGCTAGAGGTGATGACTAAGCTTGAGTCCATTTATGAACAGAAATCCGAGATGACTAAGATGATGATACATGAGCGTTTCTATCAGTATAAAATGTCACCAGCAGACAGCATAGCTCAGCATATAGCTAAAGTAGAAAGTTTAGCTAAGCAACTTAAAGAAAGTGGAGAAGTTGTTAGTGAAACTGCAATAATAACTAAAATTTTGAGCACATTACCTCCCAAGTACAGATCTGTTCGCCAGGCTTGGATGTCGCTTGATCCGAATAGTCAAACTGTAATCAATCTGACTGCTCGTTTGCTAGATGAAGAGGCCAGCTTGAATGTAGAAGAAGAAAATGAAACTGCTTTAATAGTGGCAAAACAAAATATGAAGAAGAAAACTGTTCCATTAAAGAAAACAAACAAAGAAGGAAAGGGAAAGCTAAGTGAAGGGTCAAATGAGAAGTCACATCGTTTTACATGTTACAACTGTGGGAAACGCGGTCATTATGCAAAAGATTGCCGTGCCCCAAAACAAAACCAGAAACAACAAGGAGAAAAGAACATGTTAGCATTCAATGTAGCAGATGCAGATTGGAAAAATAATGATGATGGTTTAAAATGGATATTAGACAGCGGTGCCTCAGCTCACATGTGTTATAAACGTGAAAATTTCGCTGAATTGTATGAATATACGGGCTCTCCGCTGAAACTTGGAAACCAAGAAGCGATAGAAGTAGTTGGCCAAGGAAATATATTGATAGACAAGTGTGTCAATGGACAGTGGGAGACGAGTATCCTGAAAAATGTTCTATATGTGCCAAAGTTGAGAAGAAACCTATTTTCTGAAGGAGTAGTGACAAGACAAGGTTATAACATTATAAAGAAACATACAGATGCTTTAATATACAAGGATAAGAAATTAGTGCTGTGTGCATCTTTGCAAAGCAACAACCTGTATGAGTTAAAGATGAAAACGCTCCAAAATCCAGTGTGTAATGTAGTGCAAAAATTGGACCTTAAAACGTGGCATGAACGTCTAGGGCATTTAAATGTCAAAGAAATACAGAAAATGTGCAAAAACAATGTGATTACTGGTGTAGACTTGTCAGACTGTGACAAGTTTGTGTGTGAGGGTTGTGCTTATGGTAAGCATGCTCGTCTACCATTCAAGAAATCAAACAGAGGACCACAGCAACCAGGTGATGTTGTATACAGTGATGTCTGTGGACCATTCAGTGTGCCATCTGTACAATGTATGAAATACTTTGTTATTTTTAAAGACGCTGCTACAAGTTTTAGATATGTGTATTTCTTAAAGAATAAATCTGATGTGTTAAACTGTTTCAAGAAATATAACTCAATAATCAAAAACAAGTTTTCACATAGTGTACGCATACTGCACACTGATAACGGCGGAGAGTACACAAGCAAAGACTTTAAAGAATATCTTGACTGTGAGGGGATCTCCCATGAGCTCACTGCTCCATACACGCCTGAACAAAATGGTCGAGCAGAACGAGAGATGAGAACAATTGTTGAAAGTGCGCGATCCATGCTTTATGCCCGTAAGGTACCACTCAATCTTTGGGCAGAAGCAGTAAATTGTGCTGTCTATTTATTGAATCGGACGTCTTCAAGCCAGACCCCAAATATCACCCCTATGGAGTTGTGGAGTGGTGTTAAACCCAGTCTAGATCATGTCAGAGTGTTTGGATGCGAAGGATATGTCCATGTGCCAGATCAGTTGAGAAAGAAGCTGGATAGTAAAAGTCGTAAAATGATGCTAGTTGGATATGATGATTCAAATTACAAAATGTACAACCCAATCACAAAAAGAATTACAATATCGAGGAATGTTATTTTCAATGAACAGAAAAGTCCTGAAATAAAACGGAATGAAGCTCAGATCTTTATAGGGGATAACGATGAACAAAATGCTGAAGAGGAGATAGATAATACTGAGTTGACTGAAAGTGATGACAGCACACATACTGCCAATGATGAAAACGATGAGACCTATGAACCTTCGCAAGAAATTGATCTTTTGGATACGGATCGTTCATATATTACTTTGCGACCACGTAGAAATAATGATCATGAGGCAAACTTAATGGAATTGGATGTACCTGTGAGTTACAATGACGCAATCAACGGTAAAGAGAGTGAATTGTGGCTGGAGGCTATAAATGAAGAGTTAGAAGCTCATCGTACCAATAACACCTGGAGTTTTGTGAATAATGAAAACCAGAGAGCAATAACATCAAAATGGGTTTTTAGTATCAAAAGAACTAAAGATGGTAAAGTGGAAAGGTATAAGGCTCGACTTTGTGCCCGTGGTTTCACACAAATTGAAGGGATAGATTACAATGAAATTTTTTCACCTACTACAAGATATGAATCAATAAGAATAATGTTATCCATCTCTGCTGAATATAATTGGAATCTAAGACAATTAGATGTCAAGACAGCTTTTTTATATGGAGAATTAGAGGAGGATATTTTTATGGTGGTTCCAAATGGAGTGAAAGCACCAGAAAATAAAATATGTAAATTGAATAAATACGTGTATGGTCTAAAACAGGCATCTCGTTGCTGGAATCAGAAGTTTACTAATTTTTTGTTAAAGTTTGGGTTTGTGCAGTCACAAGCAGACAATTGTGTGTTCGTTGGTAACTTTAATGGCATTAAAGCTTTGTTAATATTGTATGTAGATGATGCTCTAATAATGTCAGAATCAAATTCAATATTAGATCTAATTGTTAGTTATTTAAAGCAGGAATTTGATATTAAAGAGCTGGTTCTAAGTTGTTTTGTGGGTTTAGAAATTTTAAAAGATGATAATTCAATTTGTATCAGTCAAAGACAGTACATTGAACAGTTAATAAGTAAGTTCAATATGAGTACTGCACACTCAAGCAGTACACCAATTGATGTAAATGTTCAGTTAACTAAAAATATTGACAATAAAGAGATTGTTTTTCCCTACAGAGAAGCCATAGGGTCATTACTGTTCTTATCTACAGCAACTAGACCAGACATTTCATATGGTGTAAACCTATTGAGTAGATATATCAATAATCCCAGTATTCAACATGTCAATCAGCTTAAAAGGATTATTAGATATCTCATAAAAACTAAAAATTTGTGTATAAAGTATCAAGGTCACGAAAGTTTAATCGGATACTCAGATTCAGATTTTGCTGGGGACTTGGATACAAGAAGATCAACCAGTGGTTACATTTTTATGTTAAACGGGGGACCTATATCTTGGTCTAGTCAAAAACAACCTTGTGTAGCCCTATCAACAACTGAAGCTGAGTTTGTGGCCGGTTGTGAAGCTGCCAAGAATCTTTTATGGTTAAGACAGTTTTTCAGAGAAATTGATATCATTCAAAATGGCACAACTCTGTGTATTGATAATCAAAGTGCAATCAAACTAGTGAATAATCCTGTTTATCATAAAAAGACTAAACATATTGATGTTAAATTCCATTTCATTAGAGAAAAGGTTAAAAAGAAATTAATTGTTATTAAGTATGTGCAAAGTTCAGATCAACTGGCTGATATTCTTACTAAGGCTCTACCTGCTGTTAAATTCGAACGTATAAGAGATGAAATATTGTCATTCATACAAGTTTAGTTTATCTTTGTTAAAAGCAGGCAAATATGAGTTTTTTTTTTTATAAAATTTAGTGGGAGTATTGGATGAAATTTTATAATTAATTCTGGGCTGTAAGGCTACTTTTCATTTGTCCGTTTACGTCTATATTGTAACGCCAGAGGGCACTGCGTTTTTTTTTTTTTGGTGAAGGATTGTAAAACCTTTTACTGTGCACTGTTTGAATTGTTTAATAAAAACGTTTATAAGGTTCAAACGAATAGAAGTCTTGTTTATTATACAATAATTCAACAATGCGATCAACACGTCGATCAATGGGATTGATTGGGATTTACGTTTAACATTATCTTACCCAATGAACGGATAGCCGAATTCATTTGCAGATATTTGATTTGTCAACGTCTGTGTGCTTGTCGCGTCAGTATTGAAGTTAAGTTGTATGAGGAGCCATGTTTTAGCGGCCTTCGTTAGAGTAAAGCTTCCATATTATTTGTAATTTGTTGAGATAGAAGGTGAAAACAGAAACATTTCTTTTAACAGCACCTCCAGACCCAGATCAAGAACAACAAGATATCTCTGAAAGCGTCTCCTCCATTAGCTGAGGCGCCAAAAGTGCACATTGGGGATATCACTCTCTCTTCCCCGCCTTCTTACAAATCCGGGGAACAGGTCGCCACTCGTTTGGCTTACGGCACCGCTCTGAAGAAGATCGCTGACACGAATATGCGGTGAGTTATTTAATGAATTGACGACCTCCGTGGCCTAGTGATTTGTTCGCCGGGTTTCATGGTGTCACCGACTCGAGAGGTCCCAATCAAGGGGTTCAAATCCCGGTGGGGGCAGATGTTTGTGTGATAAATACGAGCATTTGTTCTCCATTCATGGATGTTTAATATGTATTTCTATAAAAATATATTTATATATGTACAGTATTATTATATTCTATTCGTTACCCTAGTATCCCATAACACAAGCCTACTAGTGCTTACTTTGGGGCTAGGCTAACTGGTGTGTGTGTTGGAAATATAAGGATAATACTGCAAATTTTAGTTGATTTTAAAAAACTATTAGTTGATATAAGAAAATCTCTTTTTTTTCGTTCTCCCTCTGTATTAATTGAGAGAATTAATCGCTTTGGGTATGGCTTATGGCGGCAATGCTTTGAAGAAGTTCGCTGACACAAACATGCGGCGAATTTTTATAAAGCCGATAAAAATGTAAGTTGTTACTTAACTAAATCAGTGCATCTATACCGTAGAAACTTGTTTTATATATAACTAGTGGCCCGCCCTCGCTTCGCTTCGGTGTTGAGCTGTAATGTAGACTAAAATGACTCTTAATAATATATATAAATTTTGTCATATTGGTCTTTTGCCTGAAATAAAGAAATTATTATTATTAATAAAAAAACTGAAAATCGTATCAAATATAATCAGAATGCTCCAATCTGCTAAGCTATCAGGAGTTACATGTGTTATTGTGAGTCAACCATAAAAGATAAACATATGCTGTTGTGGGATATTTTTAAACAATTTTATGTAGAATATTTCCGTCATACATGATTTCTATATAACTTTAACCATTAAGGCTGCACACGCGACAGAAGCTTAAAAAATGGAGTAACTTTTCCCGTTTTCCCAACATTTCCCTTCACTGCTCTGCTCCTATTGATTGTAGCGTGATGAAAAGTATACTATAACCTGCCCAGGAGTATGAAGAATAATTGTACCAAGTTTCGTTAAAATCCGTCGAATGGTTTTTGTTGCTATAAGGAACATACACACAGACAGACAGACAGACAAAAATTTTACTGATTGCATTTTTGATAGTTATTTTGAAAATAAATTTCATGTACAGAATTGACCTCTCTACAGATTTATTATAAGTATAGATAACAAATATGTTACAACAAGTCCAAATCGGTAAAATCATCCGATTTTCTTGTGAGTGTGTAACAATGGCCACTCGTTTTACTTTTAAAGAAGTTCACTGACATTATGCGGTCAGTTTATGTAAATTTTATTTTAGAAAAATACTTCTGTTTTGCAAGATTTATTTTAATTGGAAAAGTCTTTTTGCAGTAAAGCAGCGAAATGGGTTTACATACGATTTTATAGACAGTACATTGTGTTATAATAGCGTTATTGTAATAAGTGTTTTTTTACAGGGTGATTGCTCTTGACGGTGACACCAAAAACTCCACGTTCAGTGACAAACTCCGTAACGCGTACCCTGACAGGTAAAGTAACAAGTTTAATAATAATAATAATATTTATTTCACAAGCCAGTTTTACAAGAATCGTACAACAGAATGTACAGTATAGCTTAGAATAAACATTTATAGTATCCTCTGTGCCTGTACTAGGTTATAAAAATACCTGTATCACAGACACAGTACAGTTTGACTACTCTCTCTCTCACTCTCTCCCTCTTTCTTATAACTCTTTTTATACAATGTCGGTTTTATGGGTTCTGATAATACTTGATTAATCACATCATTAGATGATAGAAGAGGGTCCGTTGTGTTATTTTTGTTTTTATAACTAGTGTTTATATAAGCAAAACTTCGACATTAAAATTATTTTTTCCTAGTTAATAAAGCCAATTAATTCCGGACAATAAATCGAATGTTTCAGAAGTACCTCATTTCATTTAAATCTGAAGAAAATGTTACTAGAGAACATTCCACGCGGACCAGTCAACAGACAGGAACCCGCACTTTCCTTTATCCGAGCGGACGCACCGACTATTATGTCGGCGACGACGGCGTCACGTCAGTTCATCCGCCTGGATAGCAAAGGTTCCGGGTTTCAATCCCGGTGGGGCAAATGATTGTGTGATGAATAAGCATATTTTTATCTGTGCCATGAATGTGTATACGTTTCTAAATAAAAATATAGGTACTTATATATGTATCAGTATATGTATTCTCTCCGTTACCATCACATAACACCAGCCTCACAGTGCTTACTTTAGGGCTAAGCTAATGAGGGTTTTCAGAAATGACGAGTGCCAGGTGGCAGCACTGAGATGAAAGGTCTACTCATCCGTCAAATCACCTGTGTCGTCATAGTCAATTGATCAATTTAAATTCTCGTTCGATTAATTCACGCCAAAAACAAAATACAGTAAAACCCGTTTAAGACCATTTCACAGGGACTCAACTAAAAACACGTCTTAAGCGGGAAAGCGTATTATGCGGGATAGGGGAAAAAACATACTACATATTAATATTAATTACATTATATTATTATTGCGAATATTATTATATAAATTAAGAATTATGTACGTTATAAAAAAAATGTGTATTATTATGACATTATTTAAAACAATCACTTATTTTAGTGTGACAAAAAATTTCGAGGCATTATTAGCAATTACAGGATTTTCAACATATTTTAACTTTTGCAGTACGTCTTCGCTTTGGTTCAAAGAAGTTACATAGTGGCAGCATGATCACTTAGGGCCTCTTCTTGTGTGTTATCCATGGGTATATGGGATATGTGTGGTACGTGTTGGCGATTTAGGCGTATTAAACGGGATGACGAATCGTATTAAGCGTTAAGTAATGTATGGAAACATGTCTCAAGTTGCAGGGACTGACGCAAAATGACGTATTATGCGAGAAATCGTATTAAGCGAGATCGTAATAAACGGGTTCTTCTACATACAAAAGACCTCATGTCACAGTGGCACCAACTGGTGGGGTTAATTTTCCTAAAGACCCTCATTGGTGTGCGTGTTAGAAATTTTTATTTTATCAACAATGTAATATTTATATGTCGGCTGTTGGTATCCCAAATAAATAAATCTATTGTTAACTTGTCAGGAGTTCGATAGCGCAAGTGTTTAGCGCGTTCGGCTGCGATCGTTGAAGTTAAGCAACTTTCGCAGTGGTCGCCGATGGATGGGTGACCAAAAAAATTTACTATCTCGAGCTCCTCCGTGCTTCGGAAGGCACGTTAAGCCGTTGGTCCCGGCTGCATCTGCAATCGTTAGCACCCACCAATCCGCACTGAGTCCGCGTGGTGGGTAATATCCCAATCTCCCTATTCCATCCGGAAGACTTTTGGCCCAGCAGTGGGGACATTAATAGGCTGATGATGATGATGATGAATTCGTCAGGTACATTGAGTGTTTCATCGCGGAGCAGAACCTAGTTGGCGTGGCTACTGGAGCCGCGTGTCGCGATAGAGCCGTAGTATTCGCTTCTACGTTCGCTGCCTTCTTCACACGCACTTTTGACCAGGTAACGTGGCTTATTAAATTTTTATTGCTAACTGAAAAGAGGTTAAAAAAATGTTGTAAATTTTGTAGTCTTATAGTCTGTGTCCAATGTTTTGACTGTGGATGTAACCAGTTTTGTCACAAAACATATAATACAGAAGGTAATCTATGTACAAAGTGAGCTCGAGCAATGCATAGACACACATAGACATATTTTGTGGTTTTATTCCCTACATATTTTGATAACCACAACTGCGAGTCCCTTTATCAAAACGGTTTGCAATTTCAGTTTTAATTTTGTATTTCCTAGGAAGCTTGAATATTTTTCAATTGTAATCTAAAAGTGAAATATATAGATAATATCATAGAGTAACCAAATGCACAGTCTATAGGATTACCTTCTGTACTATCTATTTTTTCGTTTTGTTTCCTACTTATTTTGATAACCACAACTGCGAGTGCATTTATCAACACAGTTTGCCATTTCAGTTTTAATTTTGTTATTTCTTAGGAATCTTGAATATTTTCAATTGTAATCTAAAAGTGAAAATATGTAGAAAATTCATAGAGCAACCAAATGCACAGAGTCCATAGGATTAGCTTCTTTACTATCTATTTTGTGGTTTTGTTTCCTACATATTTTGATAACCACAACTGCGAGTGCATTTATCAACACAGTTTGCCATTTCAGTTTTAATTTTGTTATTTCTTAGGAATCTTGAATATTTTCAATTGTAATCTAAAAGTGAAAATATGTAGAAAATTCATAGAGCAACCAAATGCACAGAGTCCATAGGATTAGCTTCTTTACTATCTATTTTGTGGTTTTGTTTCCTACATATTTTGATAACCACAACTGCGAGTGCATTTATCAACACAGTTTGCCATTTCAGTTTTAATTTTGTTATTTCCTAGGAATCTTGAATATTTTTCAATTGTAATGTAACAGTAAAAATAGATAGATAAATTAATTGAGAAACCAAATGCACAGAGTCTGTAGTTTGAGTCTTTACTTTCATGGTCTTGTCTCGATGACTAGTGCAAAAATCAAATATTGTTTGTCGTACTTACGCGACCGCCGTCGGTCGATGTGGGCAGTAGCATTCATACAAATGTCCACACATTTTAATGTGTGTTAATAACTTTCTAAGATAGGAATTGTCCATATTCTATTTGTATCCAAAATTTTAACAAATACTAGATTCATACTGAATTCTTAATTTATGAGTTATAATTAATGTTTTTAACAAAACCGTTAATAAAGTTAACTATCACTGTTGAAACATCTGTATTTTATTACATAATATATATATATATATATATATATATATAATAGCTGTTACAATGCGTAAAATTATTATTTTGGAAATGGAATTGAATCAAACTTAGAAACTGTTATAAGTTTATTTAGAAAATACAACACATAAAATATATAGTTAAAAAAAAGTATTTTCTCGACACAGTCATTTACAAAGTGTTCCCTAACCCATATAGATCCGTATGGGTGCCATAAGTCAGTCGAACATCAACCTGGCCGGTTCCCACTGCGGTGTCAGTATCGGCGAGGATGGTCCCTCGCAGATGGGACTAGAAGACATCGCTTTATTCCGGGCCGTGCCTACTGCTACCGTCTTCTATCCATCGTAAGTATACAGCTATTGTTGAAAATGTGTTCCCTAATCTCCACACTAGGTTCATATGGGTACCATAAGTCGGTCCCTCGCTGATGGGGCTGGAAGAAATCGCTTTATTCAGGGGCCGTACATACTGCACTGTCTTCTATCCATCGTAAGTACAGCTATTGTTGAAAATGTGTTCCCTAATCTCCACTCTAGGTTTTATATAGGTACCATAATTCGGTCCCTCGCTGATGGGGCTGCAAGAGATCGCTTTATTCTGGGCCGTGCCTACTGCTACTGTCTTCTATCCATCGTAAGTATACAGCTATTGTTGAAAATGTGTTCCCTTATCTCCACTCTAGGTTCATATGGGTACCATAAGTCGGTCTCTTGCTGACGGGGCTGGAAGAAATGCTTTATTCCGGGCCGTGCCTATTGCTGCTGACTTTTACCCGTCCTAAGTATATATTTATTTTTATTAGGCACAAGGCCTATTTTCCTTCTTCTTAACCTTGCCATGTTTATAGTCTGAAAACTGTTTTTGCTTCCATCCGTGATAATCCGTATCCAACAATATTATTTCTTTTATTAAAGAGTATTTTACTTCTATAAATCTCCATGATTGTCGGTTCTGTAACCATTTTAGTTCTTTTATTAAATAGCATTTCAAATTAATATGTGCGAAGTTGGTTTGCCTATAAACTCATTATATTACGTATATACAAACACATGGTAGTGTGTGCTATATTAATTTAAAATTAAGTAATAATGATATACTTATAAAATATTCCTTCCTACACTACACTGTGAAAAACTACTACCATATAAAATTTAAATATACAAAATCTAAAGAAAATTTTTAATAGAAAAAAAAAGAAACATAACTATACAAAATCTGTCACTTGTCCATGAGCAAAACGTGCTTAAAAATGGTAAACCCTTCACTTATTAAGAGGTATAATGGTTATTTATACCAGGAGCTCGATGGTGCAGGTGGTTAGCGCGTTCGGCTGCGATAGTTGAAGTTAAGCAACTTTCGCAGTGGTCGGTCATTGGATGGGTGACCAAAAATCTTCTATCCCGAGTTCCTCCGTGCTTCGGAAGGCACGTTAAGCCATTGGTCCCGGCTGCATCTGCAGTCGTTAGTACCCACCAATCCGCACTGGGCCCGCGTGGTGGGTCATGGCCCAATCTCCCTAATCCATCCATAGGGAAGGACTGTGCCCCAGCAGTGGAGATATTATTTGGCTGATGATGATAATGGTTATTATGTTTTATTTCACAGTGACGCAGTATCGACCGAACGCGCCGTAGAATTGGCCGCCAATACGAAGGGAATCTGCTACATCCGCACCTCCCGCCCCAATACTTCAATGTTGTACCCCAACGATGAGACTTTCAAGGTAAATAGGCGTCGAAATGATTAAAATTGGTCCCGTCCCTTTTTTTAATGATTCTTCCTTTTTAGGTAAGGCAAAGGGAACAATGCCCATACAACCCAGTGATTAGTTATATAAATCTTTATTTTTACATTAGAATGTCGGTGTGACGCATTCTAATGTTTCTTGGAGTGTTTGGCACGAAATTGTCGAGTTGGCTTTCTAGATAAGCTTCTGTGTGGTAGTAGCTCTACAATAAAGTTCTCACGTCCACTTGACTGGAATAGCGTATATTTTAAAGATACCACTAATTTTCAGTTGTGCAGACGGTTGTAACCGCTATGTGCTATATATAGCGCCATCCCTTTCTAACTATGCTCAAGACTAGATTCATTACTGAGAATCTTTCTGTAATACGGGCCTTACTCTAGATGTAATAAACGAACGATTCAGGCTAAAAAGATTAACAGCGAAATAGCATATGTTGTATTTATAATGAACAGTTACTTAGGAGTTGTGGAGAAAAAAATCAAGAATAATAAAGTTTATTGTCAAGTCAACCCTTTACTTGGCTTTTCGTGTTTAGTTTAGTTTTTTACGCGTTTAGCCAGACTAAATTAGTGTATTGCTTTCTTAATTTAAATAAATGTGTGATTTTAAAACTTAATAAGGTCATGATTTTGGTGGGTGCTTTAATAGTTTGATTCCCAAAGTGAGCTGTAAATAAAATACCCCTGACTACAAAACGCGGACTACAGCTGTTAGTCTTGATTTAAATCTAATATTGTCTTAAGTCTGCTTTTAAGCAAACAAAAGTGACAGCTCTTGTTTTGCTACAGCAGCTTTAGTCCAGGTTTAACTTTAGTCTTCGTTTTGTGTTAAGAGGCAATAGAGTTTGAGCACCTCAAACGACTTCATATATTATTATGTCAGTGTTTATGGCAAATATCGACCTTATCAATAAAGGCTTCAAGTTTGAGTGTTTAGGTACTTAGATTGATGCTATGTTTCAAGTAATTAAACCGTTTAATTTCCTCTCTAGGTTGGTCAAGCTAAAGTGGTCCGTCAGTCTGCTAAAGATAAGGTGCTTTTGATCGGCGCCGGAATCACTTTACACGAAGCAGTCGCTGCAGCGGACAAACTGAAGGAAGAAGGTATTTATTTATTTACTCTTTATTGTTTTGTTACAAATGGCGGACTTAATGCCACATGGCATTCTCTACCAGTCAACCATCGGGCTAAGCAGAGACATTATGCGGTCAAGTAAATTAAAGCATTATAGTTAAAGAGAAATAAAAACAAAATTAAGGTATAGATACTAAAGAAAATTTTACTAGATAAAATTCACTCGGACCAATCATTTAACAAACTAGATGTTTATTTTATTTTTATTGACTTTTAACTGCTAGATGTTTATATTAAACATCTAGCAGATGATAAATAGAAATATAACTAGAATTACTGTTTCATCCTTCAAATGTTTAATTCTTGTAAAGGTATTCATTTGACATTGTGGGTTACCTACAATACGAAGAGTTGACGCTGCCTTGCAGCCTAAGAAATGCTAGAGAAAATTCGACACGGACAATTAGGGCCGCGGTAGCATAATTGGTCAGTACTTTCGCCCGTATAGCGAAGGGTGCGGGTTCGAGTCCCGTCTGCAACCTGGTCCGCGTCCAGTTTTTTCTATTAAAAAAACTTTAGATTTAAACATCCTAGCAGTTACATGATTGAAAATAAAAATATTAATAATATAATGTTTTTATTATTATAATATAGGCGTTGAAGCCCGAATTCTCGACCCATTCACCATCAAGCCGTTGGACGAAGCGGCGGTATTGCAGCACGCGCGCGCCGTGGGAGGAAGAGTCGTTGTCGTAGAGGACCATTACCAAGCCGGTGAGTAATAATAATGAGCTATTTCACAGTATGAAAAAATAAGTAGGTACCAATAGGCTATTTGGCAGTATAATGCGATTCAAATAGGAAAGCCAATGATCTCCATTTGTCCAATGTAGCTTGTAAAGTACAGTTTGCAAAAAAATCTCTGAACACTTTTTTAGCACTCGGCTAATTCTAGAATAAAAATCAAACATTTTTAAACAATAACAAATACTGATAATTATTATTGGTTGATTTTTGTTTTTCATTTATTGAGCTTTATGAATGGTTGATAACCCAAATCGTCAACCAAATGTCATTTTTTGTTGCGTTCAGAAGCTCGATTTAAAACTTTCGTTTATTATATTATAGTGGATCCTTGTTTGGACATTCCCGCGGCTTTGCTCGACAAATACGGTATCTCGCGCCACATATAATATCTTTATCATGCTCAAAGAGCTTGCTGTCAAATTTACAAACAACAAATGTAGGAAGGCTAATAAAGCCAAAGAGAAGGAACTTCTACGCTCAACTGGGTGATGTGAGTTTGGGCACGTTTGTTGGGAATTGTTTAAATGACGTGTCAGTCTCAGCCTCCAAATTTCTCTAGCGCGATGTAGGCTTCGCATACTATTTTTTTCGCCGTCAGTAGCGCCATCTCTCGACAAGCTGGGTGATTTCATCCTCCATTAGTTTTATGTGGGACGTGTAGATGTCGCTGCCTCACAAATATCATTTAAAGGGCATCCTTATGTTTATACATAAGATGCACTTTAAATGATATTTGTGTGTGAAACTAGTTGAGCCCCGCGGCGTTATCCGCGGTTTATTAGGGATATTTTCCCGGAGTAAAACTACGTTTTACCTATGTGTTAATCCAGGGTGTCAGCTAACTCCATACCATTTTTTTTAAATCGTTCCAGCCGTTTAGACGTGAAGAAGTAACCAACATACACACTCAAACACTCACAAACTTTCGCCTTTTTAATATTAGTGTGATAGTAGGGACATCAGTGAATAGATAGATAAAGATTGCACTTTTAATTGCAGGAGGTATCGGTGAAGCAGTTATGTCAGCTGTGGCCCTAGAACGTGACGTGATCGTTAATCACGTTTACGTAAAAGAGGTTCCTCGCTCGGGCCCGCCAGCGGCTTTGCTCGACAAATACGGCATCTCCGCACCGCATATCGTCGCCGCAGCCAAAGCCATCCTTAAAGCCTAGACTGTAAGGTCCAAAGTGAGTTGTTACTGTTCTTTACTTCTGAAATATTATTTAGTTGTATCTGTGATTTTGAAAGAATCTTTGCCGCTTAAAATATTGTGATTTGTAGAAAAGAATCTTTGCCGTTTAATATGTTGTAGTCTTTAGAAAGGGAAGGTGGATAAACTATTTTTTTAGTACTTTCTTAGTGTTAAAGTTGACAATGTAAAGAGAAATGAAATTTAGACACAAAGAGTGGACTTTAGGATAACTGCCTAAGTTCATTGCTATTACTTATGACGTCACCTATTATTTCGACACTGTAGAAACAGAGTTAAAAACAAAAGTCGAACCTGTTGCTAATTACCATAAATTTGCATAAAAAGACAAGTAAATGTTACTTTATGTAGTAGGCAGTACATTCTAAAACAAATTGCTTTTGTAGAAAGCTACGAAATAACGCAAAGACGTCGAAAACCATATCAATAACAAATAAGGCGTTACAAACTAATGTCGAATTATTGAGGTACATATATCTCCACACACATATATATATATATATATATATTTGAGGTATATATGTCTCCACTGATTAGTCTGAAAAAAATGTGATAATTAGTATATCGTTGCATCATATCGGCTCAATAGATCTTATGGACTTATTGTCATATGGAACAGTAACAATTCATCAAGTGTGTAATTCCTGGTATTTCCATGATACAACATTCCCCGATATTTGCATTCCTTGAAAAGTGAATTCCCGTTCTATTTCAATATATTTAACAGAATTTAATCAAAATCTGTTATTTGTAAATGTACATATAATCAACTTTTTATATAAAAGATTTTATGCTTCCTAATTTTGGCTTAATCTCATCAATGAAAGAAAGTAGCTTAAATTTAATAATTTTGTATTATGATACTATATACAAAAGTTCTGGTTAATTCTGTTAAAAATATTTTTTAAGTTTGTCTGATTTACAAAATGTAGTTCCTAAAGAACAGTTTATTCGGTTGTATGTTGTAATTTTTATATCTTTTATATATTTCCTTATAGAGTGTATGTTGAAAGTGCCTTTATGACGAATGCCGAAGTTGTCTAGATGACGGTTTTTAAAGGGTTAGTATGTAAGATAATGTTATATAACTATATTGTAACGTTTTATACGACGTAGCTGGTATTCAGAGTACGAACTCTTGTTTTGGGACCATATTGAATTTCTAGAAGAGTATGAATTATATACAAAATTTAAAATTGTCGTTAATAGAGTATTTGTCTAGTGTCTAGTATTGGTGATATTTTCCTTTTATTTGTATAGTAATTTAATCAGAACATTGTAATGATTAATACAAGTTACTTTGATACGTAAATGTCATGCGATTGATTTCTGATTATGATTTACTGCGTAAAACTTATACTTAATCATAATTGGTCAAATGGAAACTTAAGAAAATGACAATGATATGATTTATAATAATGCAATGCGTTTTAAAAATGTCCAATCAGAAATAGTTAAGCAAATACTGTATTACCGTCGATGTTGCTTGGGCTTCCTTTGTTTGTTATGAAATCATACAACTTATTGTAGATTTGGTTAATGTTTATTTCGGGACGTTTTAGGTACATTCCTCTCAGGATGGCATATTTCCTATGTTTTGCAATAAAGTTTATTATCAAGTACAAAACAGTATTTAATTTAAATAAAGTATAAAACAATTAATTTACAATATATTACTCTCATTAGAACTGTACAAGTTAATTATAATTATAATAATAATAATAACAATTAACAAATAAGTGTAAAAACTTAACCTTTAGTGACTAGATGACTCTTGATTTTTGTATATGTACATTTTTTAACCAAATTATAATCTATGTTAGAGGTGTCAATTGACTAGTTATGTTAGTAATTAATTTTATCTACTAAATTTGGGCTGTTTGATAGACAGGCAATAACAATATTTTGTTTTTGAAACTTTTATGGTCACTAACATTATAACTTAACGGGGTTATTACTATGCACCTTATTTTTTACTCGTCTCCGATATGAGTGTCTGGAATCCAGTGGTTCGTATGTGCAAAAACCGCAAAAATAAAAAATAAAGTCTCGTCCTGCTATCTTATAATGGGAGTATTGTGTGTAGGAAACAGGTGCGAGTGAATAGTGAAAATGTGACCAGTAATGGGGGTACGTAGAGGTATAAGAATAGAGTGGGGAAGGCGGCTTTAAAAGTGTCCGTCTAGTAGAAAGGGAAAGAAAATGAGAGACGGCTAGCTATCTCTCTCTCTTGTGATCCATGCCATCCAATGGCATGACATCGAAATAGTATTATGCTTACGGTTGCCAATGCGCATGCGCGATTAGAGAGAGAAAGCTAGCGGTCTTCCATCTTCTTTCTCTTTCTATTAGAGGGACACTTCCACTGGCAGTAGAGTCTCCCATACTCTATTCTTATACCCCTATGTAGGGGTATCGAAAGCAGTAAAAGACGATGTCAGAGGGTAGACCGATATGTCTGCCAATAACATCTACCCGCAATTACTTCAGTTACTTCGTGATCATGGCGCTTGCAACAGTGCCGAAATATCGGAGACTCATAAAAAATAAGGTACATGGTAACAATCCCGTTAATAGCTATAAGGCAATAACAAAACTAGATATTTTTCTTACGATACAAATACACAATATCGCATCTTTTGATCTATAAAAAGTGAACATTATTATAACTCGTGTCATTAAAGGAATAAATCGCAAATGGCGGAGTAAGACATTCTGTCCCCCTCGCACATGCTTAGCTAAGTGACGTGCGAGAGAGATAGAATACCTTGCGTCGGCGTTTTCGATTCCTTTCTTTAATGACACGAGTTATAAGTTCAATGCAGCAATATAATATTTCCTGTACAAAACACATTCAACCATTATATTTTCATTGAAGTCGTAAAAAAATAAAATGGACTTATTAAAATGCAAAATCTGTGCGTACACTGCAAATTATATATTAGCAAAAAAAAATTAAACAATTTAAATTTCAGTGTATAAGACGAAAATAATTTTAAGATTTTAAAGGTATATTCTACTTGTTCTCTCTATCAACTTATTCTCGTAGCTCGTATGGTAGACTATTTTGGCAACACAAAGTAATTGATAAATCCATTTAATATAACTCTATAAATAACACAACAAACGAAGAAGGTACAAAATCAATTGGAAATTTTTGTCAGTTTTAGATTACCTGATGTTACAACAAATTTTACTGATTCGTAGGCAAATATCACGCCGGCACTTCTCTTGGTTATTCGTGTTTGCTTTTTGTAAACTTGACATCTGTCTGTCCTTTTCATTTCATATAAAACATGATAAAGAAAGACTGTTTTCAAGTATACGAATAGCCAAGCTTAGTTACGATACCAGATTTTGTAATTTTATACATTGCAACACTAATTCTCAATAACTAGGTTTAGTATACACTCTTTTAAGAACGACTTATGTCTAGTCTAGAAGGTACACAACAAACAGTAATAATGACCGTAGGCACACAATCAGTACGTGGACGGAGTGGCAATCTGATAATTTGAAGTTAACTCTTTAAATCTCACTAAAAACATTAATAAATGCATTGTTCAGCCACTATCATTCTTTTAGTAGCCGGTTTTATTTTCCACTTCTTTGGCTTATTCGAGAACGTCCAAACGCAGAGTAAATACAAAGAAGAGACAGTGCTTACTAAAACATTTAAACCTAAAGCATACTGTATAGAAGTGAGAACCATTTAGTAGCGTGTAATTTTTGCTACCGATTCACGTTTTGTTCCATAGAAACATTACTACACCTCTTTGCATTTACTCTGTGCATCTAAGCTCACATCTTCAGCCCCACTCTCCTGCGTTTCCTTCGTTGTTAGGCGACGCTTGTTGTTCGGGTGCCGGCTCCACATTACTTTTGTCTTCCAACTCCCCGGGCAGGTAGTCTTTCCAACTCCTGAATAAATATCTAGTGAACTTCCTCAATTGTCTAAATTTACAGTAGGTAGCTCCTTCCGCCGATTGCAACTGTTGTGTTTGAATAAGGAACCCCTTTTCCTTAAACGTCTGCTCCAACTTTTCCCTCTGCAAGCTCTTTCTGGACTTCCTCTTCTTTTTATTCAATTCCTCTTTACTCAGTGAAGAGCTTTGCCCTTCCGGTTTCGGTAACGCGGATACGGAAGCCTCTACTTCTGCGTTTCTGTTTTGATTCGCGTCCCTCTGCAAGTATTCGTAGCCCTTATTCCCTTTGTTTCCCGTGCCGCTGTAATATCTGAAGTTGCCCCCGGAGTCTACGGACAGCATCTTTTTCTCTTGCAGCGAGGGTTTCGATCCACCGGTGAATTTAAATTTACAAATACTGACTTCGGTCGTCGGCGTGGTTGAACTGGTTTTAGTTGGCATAGGGGGGATGAATATTGCAGACCGTTTTCTCTTAACAGGTCCCGGTACTGGATTGGGCGAAGCTCTCTTCATCTTGGATTGATCCGGACTGCGCTTGGCTTCCTCCACTTGTTTAATCACTTTAGGATCCAAAAGTTCAGATATCTGCTTTAATACTAGCTTATTTTTACTCTCGTCTAACGATGAATTCGTTTCTGTCGACATACTTTCGTTTACGCTGTTTGGTGTCGATAGAACTCTCTCCTGTTCATCGCTCGGCAGTTGTCCGGCAGCTGCTAATCGTTGGTAATACAAAAGTTGCGTTTGTAACGCCAGAGGATGCATGTATATACCAGCGTTGGGCCAATATACATATCCTGGAAACTTCCCGTCGCCATCAGGACTCGAAGTAGACTGTACTGGCTCTGATAACGCAGGAGAAATATTCCTCGTCTGTCGTGATAGATCAGGCGAACTACTTGCGGTCATCGGTAGAAGGTTGGTGTTCCTCTGTATTACCGAAATGGCATTCGTTTGTTCTGCCTTCTGACTCTCTGGTTCGACTTCGGTTTCTGTTTTAACGTCGGGCATCGACGGGTAAATGTTGCCGAACTTCTTTTGAATCTGCAGCTTTAGATCATGAAGGTCTCTAATGCATAAATTTAAGGGTTCATCATCGCTGTGAAGTGGACCTGGGATCGTTAACGGAGCTTCAGGCATCGGTTCGTCCGGGCTATTAAACCTTTGCGGAGAGAGATTCTCGAGTCTCCTTTTGTGTTCCTGTGAGAGTTTCCTTTCCAATAAACTGGATATGATTTTATTTTGCAAGTCCGTTTTAGGAGTACTTTGTACATTTTCAGATCGATAAGGATGGCACAAACTGAGGGGGTTTAACCTATCTTGTGCAGGCGGTGGTTGGCCTGGCACAACTGTTCCATAGTTTTCGTATATAAGGTGGCAGATGTCTGCTTTCTTTGGCTTGCGACCTCTTCGTGGCTTCGAGTTGTTCAAGGTCATTTCTCCCATGTAGGGCAAGTCATCATAGGTTACAATTTTACTGGGAGCTATAGTAGGGCTTTTTTTCTTCTTCTCATCTTTGCTAGGGGGCTTAGCTGCCATGTTTAATACTGAAGGTACGTTGGTCAATGTTCCCGTCTCATTCTGCATGCCCGCCAACCTCTGCGCCCATATTTTGAAGGTTTCGTTTGTGATGTTGTTTATGTCAAAGTTTGGTTCTGGTTTCTTTTCTGGGGGTTTTGGTTTCTGGGCTTGCTTAGCGTTGGCTTTCTGGAGGCTTTGCTCGTAGTGGTCAAGGTACTCTTGGGGTAGCGCCTGGTGGTGGAACTTCAGCTTCCATCGGTTCTTCTGCCGGTTCCTCGCAAGCTTCTGTTTAGGAGGTTCAGTCTTGTCCGCGTGCCGTTCTTTACTAGCAGAAAGTAGTTGTTGCCTTAGTAGCTCCTTGTTTTCTGACCTGGAATGAGAAGAGTTTTGTTTGTTAGTCCTGTTAGCTACAATGTGCAATAACCTAATACCTTACAATCACGAATTAGATCTTCACACAACTTTACTGCTGCCAGCGCAATAAAATCATGGTTTAAGATAAACCGTAGCTACACTTAAGTGATTAAGCCACAGTTGATATTGGTTCTTTAAAATCAAAAATAGAAACTATGCCATGTCCATTAATAGAATAGTCTTCTTCCCATTGCATAATCAATAACGTACAGCGGTAATAGGTGGAGCTATCAAAACAGACAGATTTGACAAACCGAATTTGAACTTTATCTTGCCAGACGTAAGATTTAAAATAAATTAAGAAGTTTTGGTACTGATAACTTGACATGTCATTGAGTATCGAATAGGGTACTTTATTGATATCATGAGATGAGCAGAGTAGCGAAACTCGAGGGTGCAAGTAGTGGATGTTTAGCAATGGCTGGTGATAGGGATGGATGACCATAGAGTTTTGGTCCTCGGTACTCCGGAAGGCATGTTAAGCCCTTCGTCCCAGCCCAATCTCTTTACTCCGTCCATAGGGAAGGCCTGTGCCGGGAAATTAAGATACCTTGCGCACTAGGCACCCGTCTAGCCAGGCAGCCACGACCACGGCCAGTGACTGCAAAGACCAGCCCATACTCGAAGAACGTCGCACACTTGACCGCAACGGCCAACCTTAATCTATCTGGACGTTGCGGCCACTGGTCGCGGTCGTGGCCGTCTAATGCGTGAGGTACCTAATATGATGATGATGCAGATGATGAATTGATGATTACCTGTTGTTATTATTGAGGTGGGGATGGGGGTGCGTGGGCGGCGCGGGGCACACGTCGGCGCATGCCACGCGGCGCATCACTTCTGGAACAAACAAACGCAATATTAAAGCATTTTATATGCTAATAACCATAAAGAAAAAGGGAAAGAACCATTTATTAGCCAACAAAAAAAGCACATGAATACGAACAGCGGATATAAAAATATTTACAAAAAAGTGAGCAGTACAAACGTCCTAACTGTAACTAAATAATAATATTGGTCAATGAGGACCCTGCCTCGGCATAATGCTGCCGTGACATGTAACAAAGTGTCACAGTCAAGGAAGTTATAAGTATTATATACTTCCTTGGTCAAAGCAACGCAGGTTGATTGAACTGGAATTATAAAGATGATTTGATTTGAACTGAGAAAGAGATTAGAACAGGACCCCTAGCATGAACCAATATCGAATTCGTATCGTTTGCGAGTCCGAAATGTCATTGTCAAATGTGTACTGATTTTTAGTTCTTATTACCTACGTACTTTGTGCCGCTGCTGTTCAAGTTTCCATACATTCCAAACTAAGCACGAACCAATATCGAATTCGAATAGTTTGCGAGTGCGAAATGTCAATGTATGGAAACTTGAACAACAACGCCACAACGGACGTAACAAGAACTAAAAATCAGTACACATTTGACAATGACATTTCGGACTCGCAAACGTTACGAATTTGATATTCGTGCTAAGGGTCACGTTAACAAGCATGTTAAAAATCTTCCCATATAATCACTTCATTATAGATGACGATAGATAAACCACCAGTCTCCATATCGCTCATCCGCTGAAATAACATCGCCAAAGGCATGATGACTGGGTAAATTAAACGAAATTCTAGTCCGTCAGTTATATTATAAAAAAAATATGGACATTTATTTTTTCTTTTGTCGATCACCCAAAAAATAAAGATAAGGTGTTTCAAAGTTTGGGAGTGGGCTCATCCCCCTCTGGATCCGCCCTTGAATATCATCCCTATTCTAATTTTTTTTCTTCAAAATTAAGTTATTGATATCATAATAGACCTAAAGCGTATCTGAACCTGGATCACAGTATATCTTATATATAAAATTTTCGTGTCACAATATTAGTTACCATACTCCTCTGAAACGGCTTGACCGATTTTTATGAACTTTTATATGCATATTCAGTAGGTCTGAGAAGCGGCTACTATCTGTTTTTCATACTTTAGTGATAATGGTTGTCCACCCCTATCAGTTTTTTTTTATTTTAGGACAATATTTTTTTCTTTTATTATTTTATAATGTGGCAATAAAAAGTACATGCAACCCTAAATTATTACCCATCTATCACCAACCCTTTTTTTAAATTCCCTATAAATAATTTATATGGCAAAACAACGTTTGCCGGATCAGCTAGTAATATAAAATCATCTAAACCAGTACCGCAACTAGGCCACTTTGTTGAGATAAATACCTACGCGTCAAATGAGCGAATGGATGAATGAATGGATTCCCTTCTTTTGTTTTTGTAAAATTGAAAAAGTTTTTCTTTAGTTTATATCTCAGATACTTAGGTCTATTTTGAGATAACGAACTAGTTTTTATTAGAGCATTAGCGTTCTTACTCCAAATTTTTATGAAATTAATGGGCATTTCTTTTTATATAAGGCTAGTAATAAGGCTTATTTAATAAATCCATCCATTCATACTAATATTACAAATACGAAAGTGTGTTTGTCCGTCTGTTACCTCTTCACGATTAAACCGCTGAACCGATTCAAACAAAATTTGGTATATAGATTTTTTGAGTCCCGGCGGAGGATTGTTTTTGTCTCAGAAACGATACTATGATGGGGTAAAAAAGGCAGAAATTTTTAGGGAATCCAATTTTTTTTTCGGAAATATAGTAAATATAGGCTTTGGTGGCCGCTTACCATCTGGCGAGCTATACGCTTGTTTGTCACCCTTCTAACATAAAAAAAATGGATGCGTGTAACTTATGTACGCGCGTGAGAAGTTATACTTCTTTAGCATCATTAAAAATATTTTTTAATTGCATGCAAATAATTAATAATTACAATAAAATAATAAAAGGACTGGAAAAGGATAGTTAACACAGTCAATTAAATTCAGTTTTAATTTGAAAAATTAAATAAATATTCAATTAAAATCACTACTGAATTTAAGTTATTAGTCCAAATGTAATTAGCACTTGTAAGTAACTAAAACACGTTGTGTCTATATAGAAACTAGAAACATGTGGATAAATATTATAAATATGAAAACAGTGATCGATCATCTTATGGAGCTCCGTGGATTTTTCAAAGTACCTTTCGAACAGATGTCTAATAATGGTGGATTATTAACCACTAAGTGGTTAATAATCCACCATTATTAGACACTAACATTCATAACGCGCCCGCGGCCAACTTCATGGTGTTACTATTGTGTTACAGTGATGCGCGCGCATCTCGAAATTTCACTCACATGATTTTTTCATAACGCGCCCGCGGCCAACTTCATGCTGTTACTTTTGCGTTACAGTGATGCGCGCGCATCTAAAAATTTCACTCATCATTTTTTCATAACGCGCCTAAAGAAGTATAACTTCAAAAATAGATATAAATAAATAAATATATATATATTTTTTATAATTTGTGAAGGTTTCCTCGTGTATGCTACTAAAGAAAGTTACGAAAGACGAAAAAGTTCGTACATTCATGGGACAATAATTATGATCTATAAATACCTACATAGTCGTACCTATATTTAACCGAAAGAGATATCCAAATTCATGATAATATACTAATAATACCTAGTTATCGAAACTTATTCTTGGTTAAATATAAGTGGGTTAGAATTCGGCTTTTGTTTAGGTAGTAATTTCATTACCAAACCTTAATAATCTTCCGCTCACGAAATTTCAACCATATATTGAAAAACTGAACTACTATTCACCATTTTCGATCTCCTTTTTGGCCGTTTCGACATCAATACACTTATGTCCATGATTCATACAGCCCATCGGGTTTTCCGGGGCTGAAACACGAGCGCGCGCGCGCGGCCCGAAATACTCGCGCGCTGCGAGCGCGTGCGCAACGCCGAAATAAAAGATACCAATTTCGCAACGCGCACTAACCGATTTAGGGTAACAATATCGCCTTTCGCCTCGGACGCTGCAGGGCATCTGTTTCGGGATAAAAGTCTAATTTAGAACTTGATATTTGAATCTTTAGAGTAACATTGTGGGCAGCTGGCATCCGTGTATGGTAAGAGCTGTATCATGGGCGGCTACCAGGCACACATCGCATATAAGATAATAACAGCATACTATGTTGTTGGTCTCAGATAATCTTTACATAGTGTGTAGACTGTTGATCAGTCGAGATCCTTTAGGGACCTGAAGCTGGGATTTGGCGAATTGCAAGTGCCTTTAGTGGTACCCATTTCAAGGTGGATGTCATCTCCCCTCGAGGGGAGTCTTCTCTCCATCTAGAGCAGCGGTTCTGAACAATTTCGTGTTGAGGGACCATTTGACAAAATTTCTGTCTTGCCACGGATAACCAATAGTTCCTTTCTACTTTTTTAAGTTAAGCGGTTAAGTAATATGTATAGTATTATTTTTTCGTGTTATGAATATACTTTATAATATACATTACATATTTAAATTACAAATGCTTAAGACTACTTAATGTGACGAAAGACGAATAAGATTAAAACTTTCTACTTAAATAAATACAACTTACAAAATAAAAAAAATATATCACCCCCAGCGCAGCCGCTTAAAATGGTGCCCAAATAGCTTATCCGTTGACCAAGGTAGCTGCCACCCTTTTGATCATTATAGAACTTGATGAGTCTCTTAAACTCCAATTCTTTAAAAAGAAACGAGCGCTTGGACCTCATGTTTCCATAGTCTCAACACTAAATGGCACAAATATATAGTTTTCATTAAGAGCTGTTTGCGCCGCTTGGAGCACTCAGCAGAGGCCGTTGCCGTGCCTGCAGCTAGGGAGGTACTACCTACTCGTATGGCACGGAGCAAGCGTATCCACATAAGTTGCGTCCCATACAAGAGGACGACCCTGCTTCCAAAGAATGAGCATCATTTCGTTAGGTCTCCTACCATCATCTCGGAAGATGCCGCTAGGCTCTAGGACCGTGGACTCATTGACTTCGACAAGAGCTCTGCGGATGACGTCACTGAAGCAGGCGTGGCGGGAGGCTCGACCAGCGCTCATTTGGCATGAGAAAACATGGTGTCCACTGACGCGAGTTCCGCAACGACAGTGATGGGGATGATTGGTCTTGACGTCAAGTCTAAGTGAAATGGCAAGAGATAGAGTGCTCCTGTCAAGCAAAGTCCCGTATTGACTGAAGGAAGAGTTTTCAGCCAGTAATCAGACACTAGGAGGCGAGCTAAAAGTTCAAAATGCAAACAGAGTGGCTCGTCCCACTACCACTGAGAAAATAAGGAGGATGGTGTATTATTCCCAGGCATGTAGTTTTTTAATACGAACATTGACATTACCTACTCGTAAATCGATTAAATTGATGTGATTTTTTAATAACCTACTTATGGTATTCCAAATTTAAAGATTCACAAACAAAACGCCATACAAAGGTTTATCTGATTCGGGTACACTATTTTTAAGGCGTGTTGACTGACACATCGTAGCATTGCCTCATCTCATTACCCGTTTGAATATTGAATCGCAAAAATACTAAAAGTTAATAGTCACCAATGACGTAATAAAATAATATTAGTGAACTTATGTTTAGGTAATAAGTAAATATTATTTCTATAAGATTTGAATGATCTTTTTGCATGTTTTATGTTGACCTGAATTAAGTTATCTTAAATATTGCTGAGATATTTATTAGTCAGTTTATTGGAAAAATTAGCTGCACCAGTGCAAAATAAGCAAACTTCTCTATGGTAACGGCCATACTGAGATACGTTGATTAGCTTTAATTTTGATTATACTTGAAACTCTATTTTTCGCGACTTGCATTTTACCATACTGCACCAGATGTTAAGCGTAAGTTGGGTCAAGACGATCATTGCGGTAATGCCGCTTC